TCGTGACGACTTTCTCCTCTGAGCGTTCGCAGGTATGCACCACTACATCGCCTGGTCCTGAGCACTTGTCCAGGTTGAGACTCCTGGTCCTTACCGCCTTGGCCTGTCGCTGCATGAGCGTCCGAGTTCGATCCCCACGCTGTGCCTGCTTTGTGGTACTTTCCTGTGCTGCAACTCAGAGCCGCACACCCAGAACTCACAAATGCTTCGGGACACAGCTGTTCCACTCGACTTGTAGGTTGAGCTGGTTGAACTGAGGTGCTGCAGGAGAGAAGGTGAAGGAGGGCAGATGCTGGGAGAAGTGACGCAGCATGCGCAGGCATCGGCCTTTGCGATCTCTGAGTCCGTTTTCACATCCTTTCCCTCTTTCAGGTCTGTGGCTTTGGGACCTGCATTTTCTTGCAGCTCTCCAACTCGCCCTGCTCTTACTTGTGTCTGTCCCCTACCAGTACGAGTCTTCAGCCTCAGCCCCTGAGGCTAGTGCACATCGTGTCCGACGGTCTCATCACGTGCGGCTTGCTCAGGCAATGACATGTCGGAGCACGACATTTCATGGCAGTTCCTTGAAAAGGTTGGGGATCCCTTTACCTGGATGGGCACGGAGAGGAGGAGCCGAGATCCCATTCCGACTGCTGCGATATGCTGCGATGTACACTGCTCCGAGCGTTCGTGCCGGGACTGAGAGCCATGGCTGAGGTACAACTTGTCCCGGCCATTGTACATATCAGAAGTGCGGCTGCAGCAGCTGACACAGCTGCCATCTTAGCAGAGCCTGTCTTTGGGTTAGTCATGCGTCAGCCTGCAGCCCGCGCAGTACTTTTGATGCGGAGCTGCAGGCTTGTGCGGGAGGCGGCCTTTGATTTCGAGTGTTCCCCTCACTTAGCAGCGCATGTGCAAGCGAAGCAATCCGGTCCTAGCTTCCTGGCGAATCGAGGTCCCGGTTGAAGTGGAAGAAGGTTATTTTCGTGTCTTTGGCAGGATTTTTCGTGAGCCTGGGACGTGATTGGAACCATGTCTGTGTTGGCAAGGTTTGAGCAGCCCGACGGACGCTGCCCCCGAAGTCTGGGGTCTGTCAATAAATGTTGGCAGGCCCAGACGGTTAATGCAGTAGCTGGCGGTCTTCGCGTTCTGGCTTGTGATCCTAGCGAGCCTGATGACCGCGATCGCCACTGCTTTAAACATTATGTGCTGTTTCGGTGCAGCTCCGTGGCGCTGACAGACGCATCTTCCTGTAGGCACACTTGCAATGGCGAGGCAATGGAGCAGAATGTGGTCAAGGGGACAGTGGGTTGGGTCTACAGCTAACCAGCTAACCCGTGACACTGCAGCGCTGCGAACTGCACAGTTCCAGCAAGTTTCATAGCTTGTCTGCAAGATGCGAAGCCATGATCAAATACGATAGACTTTGATGAATACTGCCCGATTGAGTAGGTACTCGCTTTCCGTTTTGCTGCCTTGGTCACCGGACTTCTGAAACGGCTCAAGTCATTGAAGTTCTGCCGTTTCTGTTCCGATGGCATGTCCACCTACTCTCTGCAGTCGCCTCCTGGAGCGCCTCCTGGTCCTGGGCAAGGCATGCAGCCGCGGCTCACTTCGATAGTGCGTCCAGCTGCCTACTACGTCCGGGCACCAGCTCCAGCAGTTCAAGTGCAAGTTGCCGGTGCTCCCCGACCCCCGGGCGGCCCGGGTGTCCCGGGTGCCGCCCCTTTGCCCCGGCCCGTGCGATGGAGCGTGGCTCCGGGCACCGTGACTTCCCCCCTTGCGGGCCATCCAGGTATGCCCGTTGTGAGGCCAGTGCCGGTCGTGCCAAAGCAGCCGATCCCAGCTGTGCCTGCAGGTGTCCAAGCTCTCCGTCCCGTGAATGCCACAAGTCCGGTGCCAGTGCCGCAGCCCGGTCCTGCCGCTCCCGTCCACCCTTTACAAGTCCTCGGCCAGTCTCTGGCAGTGGCCCAGGCCCCGGCGCAGGCGGAGCAGGAGCCGGAAACCTCTGAGGAGACGCGACCGGAGAGTGAGGCTTCCTCTGCAACTTCGCCAAGAAGTGCACCAAGTCCAGCGGGAGCCACCGCCAGCCCACCTACAGACTCGCCGAACGATGTAAAGACACCTGAGCCGACTGGAACGCCAAAGGGCCAGCCTGTTCCTGCCGTGGAAGAACTGCGAAGCAAGAAGGTAGCTGCCGAGTCCAATTCGGATACAAAGCCGGCAGAAGAACCTAGAGACAGCCTCCTGGCATGCAGCTACGGATGCGTTGTGAGCCAGAACGAGTTTCCCTCCTACATCATGCCCTGATGCGAGGCAGTTGCACAAAGTCAGCTCGTCATCGTGATCAACCTGCATTGGCAGTTCTTGCTGCGGCCTTCGCTGCAATCTGGCCAAACGGATGATGTTTCTCTTCAAGAGGGTTCTGAGGGTCACCACCCTCATCGGGTTGCAAGCGGTGCTAAAGCAGTCCAAACGCTTTGCACCTCTGCTAAATGCTTGCTGTGAGGGCCCTGCAATGTCTCGAGGCTGGTACAGCGGATGATGTGCATTTACAGCGTGGCTTTGCAGCCGACGTGCGCAAACTGGAACTTCCGGAAGCAGGAGCTGATTGCAAGCACAAGTAGCTGAGAGAGGCACGAGACACAAACAGTGTCGACTTTGAAGCAGGATTGTACCCGGACATAGAGGACATGGGTTCGGCTGAGTGGCCTACCTGGGTCGACAGCACAGCAGAGGACCTTGGCTCCAATGTAATTAGAATCCCCTGCTGCCATCTTTTTGCTTTGTCCAAAATTCCAAAACAGCGTTTTGCAACTTGTGACGGAAGGACACCGGCCGCGGTGGTGCGATTGCTTTTGTGCCCTCCTCCGTCCGGAGCGATTCCCATTGCTCCTTAGTTGCCCATGAGGAGGCGTCAGCAAGAAGCAATGGCACAAGCTAACCAATGAGATCTACATGCAAAGCTTGGCAGTGCCGAGGTATATACTTTGTACACGGCGGGGGATTTGAGTACGGCTCCCCGCTGGAAGATGGCTACGATAGTCTTTGCTCGCGAATAGCAGCAGGTTCAGGCACGGAGCAATTCAGCATACAATTGAGTCGAGCAGTCCTGTGTCTTACCCTCCTGCTGGGTAATGCGGTTGGCTGCACATCAGGTCTGTACTAATGCTGACAGGTGTGCCCACGGTACAGAAACGAGCTTCTCTTTGCTAGTCGCTCGCGAGGCCTTGTGGTTGTATGTCCGGATCATCCTCTGTCCGGCGAGAGCCGGCCGTTCAAAGCACCGGAAATCATCGACGTGCTGCTGAAAGGTCTGCCGGCGACAGCATCAACGAATGTACAGCGTTCGTAGGTCAAAACACCGGCAAGAGTCAAACAACGGTGACACGGTGACCTAAGCCTAAGTCATAAGTGTCAGGGTCAGATCAGATCAGAGTGCCGCAGGTTTACGGTGGCTACTACGCTTCGACCCCGTGACAAAGGAGCGAAGGAAAGCTCCCCCGAAGCTGATCGTCGCTGGGGACTCCGCTGGAGCCACGCAGGTGTCAAGTTAACACTCCAAAAAGACGCTGTTTTTGTTTATGCTTTCATTCTGTCGTTTTTCATGCCGGCATGCATTGAGAATGCCGGCATGTCTTGAAAATGGCGAGTATGTACAGGCGCTTTCAATTGCATTGCGTGCGCTGGAACAAGACGACACGGAACTGACAGCGTCACTTTGTGGGCTGGTGCTGATTTCACCATGGCTTGACCTGAGCTGTGGAAGCCACACCTATGAAGCCTGGCACAACAGGGATAAAAGACTGCAGTGTCTTAAGATGCGGTTGATGTGGTCATTTTTTGCATAAGAGCTAAGCGTCATTGCGCGGTCGATCGCCGCTAGCTTTTCTTCATAGCAGCCGTAGTCCACATATTATACCTCGCATATTCACACCGCCATCACATGCTGGTCCTGTGCAGAGAAATTCAGTGTTATTGAGGTGAGCAACGCCTATGCAGAGGAGGGCGACACCGGCGATCTCGCCTTTCGGGAGCATGCCGATGACAACAGAGCATCTTTCCGTCGCACCGTTGGCAGCATGCTTCCTGCCATCCCTTCCCGTTTCGGATGAGTGATGCTGGATACTGTGAGATGGTTGGTCGAAAGGTATGGCCATGACATACACCGGATCATCGGGGCTTCTCAAGGCCAGCGGGATCCAATTCATGGTTTGATTTTGAAGGCACTATGTTGCTCTCTGGTTGTCGCTGAGGATGCTACCTTTAGCCCATACTGGCTGGTGCGCAACCTCGAGTCTGACCTCGTGGCCAAGCTTGCCAAGCTGCCTGTACTTTGCCAGCATTTTCAGCAGCGTGGTGAAGCAACACAGACTGACCACACTCTTGTCACTTGTCCAGTGTTACGGCAGACGCTGTAGCCGTGTCCAGATGTGGATTTGTGCTGGTGCGGCAGAGACGCTGAGTGGCGAGGCCCCTGCCCACCGCTTGCGTGCAACCACGGCTCAGAGAAGCGATTTTTGCCGTCAGAGGTCCTGGACTTTGCTCAGCGACTTCGGGGCAAGGCCAGGCGCAGACCCACTTCCTGTCACGACAGATGCATTTCCCTGTAAGGTACCCATTGAGGCATGGCTCCATGAAGGCATGTTCCATGACTGGGTGATGCCCCGCGCCCGCACTCTATTCGTGTATTTGGCTTGTTTGGCTGCAGCAGCAGTGTGTTCTAGTTTATCCGAAGGTATACAACAGACCATCCCATGCCTAGCAAAGATGCTGCAATGAATCTGGACGGCATTGAGGAAGGCTACTGCCTGGTTTAATGCCAAGTATATCGAGATGTGATTCGCGGCCCAGGAACAACATGTTTGACTTCATTGCCAGGATACGTCTTGGCCTTTCTTTGTGTTGCGTGTTGCATGCGTGCAGCTGTTGCCCGAGGGCTCGCACTCCTCGCTAACTGAGGCGGTACATCCTTCAACACTGCAAATGGCATTCATTACTATATAGATGAATGGGAATGAAAGCCAATGTCTCATCGACAGAAGGATAAAACAATTCCAATCTGGTGTCCCAGTACGAAACACATAGAATTCGGCTGACCCTATACTTTTAAACCAGTATGTACAGATATACACACACATATAATTTCCTGGGTTTGGAGAATATGATATATAGCAAGTAAATTACCATATATCTGAGCTGCTGCAATATTCTTCTGTTACCATCTCATTGATCTCGGTACGTATGTATGTATGTATGTATGTGGGGTCAGGCGCCTGGTGTTCCTGGCCCACCCTCCCAATGGCATGGTCTGGTAGGGGCCGCGGGGGCTTGCGTGCACGGAAAGAGGTCGGGGCCGTTGGACCTGGGGATGATAGAGAAGGCCAGGATCTTGCGCAAGTCTTAGGCAATCCATAAACCCGATAGCGCGTCCGCCTAAATACAGGCTCTTAGCCTTAAGTAGATTATAAGTCGACGAACCTAAACTCTAAATCCTCCTTGAATCTTTGTTGAATCAAAGCCTTCTACTGTTTAATCTTAGGTCTTAAACTGTAAATTCAAAACCTGAAAAGAAACCCAAAATAGTAAAGTCCGGGAAAGAGACTCTTCTTGGACTTTTTTGGGCTGGGAAGGGGGGGATCCGTAGAACACGTGACTACATGTGTATATATATATATATGTATATGTTCTAACTTTTAGTCGGAAATGATATTTGAGTATGAATTCTTTGATTGGTTTCTGCAATTTAGAACTAGGAAAGTAGTTTATGGTAATGTATATGCTATTTAGATGAGTCTTTTGTACACTGATTGTATTTTTAATGATAAATTCGAAACTATATATATATATATACATATCTTCTGATATTACTTTTCGATAATTCGTAAATAATTCGCTAACAAAATGGTGTCGTGTTGCTTGAGTCCGTAGTTCTATGCGGACTCTTGCCGCCGTGTAATTTAACTTGGTCCTCTTACGCGTTTCTTCGTGAAAGGCTTTTGTATGGTTGTTTCTGTTGACTGAAATCCTGGAAATTTAGTGTCGCGAGCGTTTCTCTCTCTTATTAAAATATCGGAAATCTCGCGGTATTAAAATCTTCTAAGTTTTGGTAGTTCTAGGTGCGGTATTAAACTTTTACAAGTTTTTAACGGAGGCTCTAGTACTGTGCCGGTTCTGGTCTGGTTCGTGTCTGGGTTCGTGTTGGGTTCGTGATGGTTCGTGTGCGGGGTCATGTGTGGTTAGTGTCCGGGTTCGTTGTGTTTGGTTAGTGTCTGCGTTCTTGTCGTTCGTGTCTGGTGCATGTTTGGTCTTTGTTTGAGTTCGTGTTGGGTTCGTCTATGGTGGGTAGTCGGTTCGTAGCTTGTTCGTATCTATTCGTATTTGATTCGTATATTTAGGTATTCAATTCGTGATTGATTTATCGGTCGTATTTGGTTCGTATTTGATAAAATATTGGATATTATATTTCGATTGGCGAATATATTATTATTACTATAGAAATTTTATAAAAAAATGGAATTCTTTTTCATTTAAAATTTAGAATATAGATTTTTGAGATATATTAATGAAGAATATGAAAAAGATTAATATAAACAATTTTGATCGGGTTTGAAGAAACGAAATTCTTTGGTATTTGATTTAAATTACATGATTGTCACGAATAAGTTGAAGAATTGTGTACAACCTCTATATAAAATAATCTTACTTGACTATATAATTTCTATGATAGTATAATTTCGTTTGATTCTAGATGAAAAGAGGCGCACTGATTCGTCAGTCTGCGTTCAGGGTCGGGATTCCTTTTGGAGTTTCTCTTCCCTTTCTTCCTTATTCCTACTCTATTATAGTTGCTTCTATGTTTGGGGTCGGAATAACTGGTTATTAGCCGTAGTATTCGTTCTTCCCTTTAGGTTTGGTGAAATCCTTCAGAGCATAAGTCGCTCCATGGATGCATCGGAACCAGACCGTGGCCCAGAGATCCTCTCGAGGTCACGTGGGATCCGAGCTGGGAAAAGTGCGGTACCTAAACGTAAAGCGTACCAGCAATACCAATTGAATCTTCAACCTTTCCGATATACTTCCTTAGACGACGTGCCCGTCCGCCACCAAGACGGCAGTCAGCGGCCGCTTTATACAAAGCCGGGGTGGCGACCCATCTTTGAATCGGACAGCGAGCCTGAGGAAGAATTGATTGAGGTTGAGGTAGAAGCGGAGGAGCCGCCACTCATTCCAAAGGCGTCAGGGGCAGTGCCGGGATATCAGAGGATCCGCACGCCACCTGTTCCTCCTGCGCCGCCTGTGCGGCCGTCGTCTTCGTCCTCAGCGAGTTCAGTGGCGAAAGCACCTTCTCAGGGTCCATCGGCGAAAGCATCTTCTCCAGTGCCTCCCGTTACAGCTTCAGTTTCTGGACAACGGTTAGCCCCTACGCCAAAGGTGAGGATTACTCCCGCAGCGAAGACTGCGGCGGTCCCTAAGGTGTCTGTTCCGACTCCGCCGGCATTTCCTCCTGATCCTAAGATTACTGCTCCGAAGACTCCTCCCAAGAATCCACCGAAGCCTCCAGCGTCAAAGCAGAGCCAGGAGAGTCAGGCTGCAGTGATCCCCAAGGTGCCGCCAAAGTCAGCCCTCACTTCAGACCCTATCGTTGACCTACCGAGGAGCGTCTTGTTGAATTCACCAGACACTTTTAACAGGTGCAACTTCAGAGTCGAAGATAGCCTGCGGCTTGAGGGCAAGGTTATCGTATTTGACTTTCACAACGTGATCGACAGGTATTACTGGGCACCTCGCATTGGTCAGCGGAAGCAGCAGTATAAGATCCCTTACCCGAACGAAGCACCGGAGCTGCTTTCGGACGTTCAGGGTCTTCTCAGGCGTGTCCACAGAGCTGCAGAGGAGGCGGGAGCATTGGTGGTGATTTGCTCCCATATTTCGGAGGGATCCAGGAGCATCGAGGATTGGGCCTTGGACACTCTCGGAACACCTTTATACAATCTGTCGGTCAACGTCAAGCTGATTTAGTCATCATCACTCGATCCCGCACAGGACGCCTCGGAAAGCTTGACATCTGTCGACGCCTCTTCCAACGGCCATCGTTGTTGATAATAGACGATAACACCGGGATCTGTGAGGAATGGAACAGATCGGCTAACGCTGCTGCGTTTCACATCCAATTGCCTCGGCGGGAACTGCCGTCGATTGGTCGGTCCTTTTCCTCGATTTTCGAGGCGGAACCTTCCGTTTTGAATTGGATCTCAGGCTGAAGTGCTCAGCGCTGGCATTCGGACTCGGTGTGAAAGGCTGCCTTGCGCCACCACCTTGTCTTCGGCAGTTTGGTTTAAGGTTTCTTTCAGGCTTCAGGGTTTCTGTATCTTGGTCTGTTAGGCGCATTGCACCACTGACCGGGTATATCTTTGTGGTCTGATCGGCGCATTGCGCCACTGACCTGCCTTTCTGCCAGCGCACTTCCGTCATCATGTCGCAATCTCAATCAACCCCAACTGATCCAAGCTCCTTGCTTGACATCTCCAGTGCTTCGGCAGTTGCGGTTCCGGGTATGAGGGATTCCTCTTGTGCTTCAGGGGGTTCAGAGAGTAGTTCAGCCTTAGTTGAACGCTCTCCTCCCGCCAACCGAAGAGCTTTAGCCCGAACTCCCAGGAAAGCTTCAGCTCCTTACCCAGCTGTCAATGTTCCTCTCGATGGATCTGGTGTTCCTACTGTTGTCCACAACCAGATGCTCAACATAGGAGCAACACCTCAACAAGTCCTTGCCGCTCAGCAATTTGCTGCTGGTGAAGCTGCCAATCGAGTCGCCGCTCAGGCGGAGCTGCTACACCAGGCTTCTATCAGTGAGGTACAAGGCCAAGTCAGGGACGTGCTGAGCGAAGCAGGGTCTGCTGTTGATCAGCTTCGGGAACACCTCAGGCTTTCGGAGATTAGATGTGGGGAATTGTTTGAGTACGGTCAATATGTTGAACGTCAGCTTGCGGAGGCAAAGGCGGAGTTGAATATATTGAATTTTCAGCTAAATCAAGTCCGAGTAGAGTGAAAAAATCAAGGAGAGAGAGATTCAGAGGCTTCGGTCGGCTGCTCCATGCGCCTCGACCTCCGGATCTCCTCCTAAGCCACCAAAAGCACATGCTCCGCCCGTCGGTTCTGGGTCTGGTGTCAGTGAAGCGTCATGGACTCACCTTGAAGCTTCCGACCCTCCCACTCAGCATTTGCTGTACTCGGGTACCTTTGTCCCTCCGCCCGTATCATCATGTCCTGCTCCTCCTCAACCTACGTCTCCTGTATCAGACCCTCGCGTGGATCAGCTGATTGATGACGTTCAACAGCTAGTCCAACAGGTCGGTCAAAATGCTACGGGTACTGTTGAGACCAATGAAGATGATGAGGTTGAAGATCAAGAGGCTGTCAAAGAGCTTCGGGAAAAGGACATTGTTGATCAAAGGGCTCTCTTGCATCTTAAGCTTGAACCTGTTCCTTCAGATGCGGCAAGTTTCCGAACTTGGAAGAATGGTTTCAAAGTTCAGTTGTCCAAGCTAGACACTTCGGGTCAAGGTCTTGTGTTGGCTTGGGTTTCTAGAGGCTTTGATGCTGAGAGAGCTGACTTGCAAGATTCAGAGCTCCTTCCTCGTCTTGATGCATGGATAGCTGGTGAGCTGTCGTCAGGGCGTGTGCTGAAGCAGTCATCTGAGCTTGAACAAGACATCACCGCTTACATTGAAAGATGTAGCCAACTTGGCCAATCACCCAAGGGTCGAGTGATGTTGTCTATCATCGCAAGGCATTACGACCTCGATCGGGTAAGAGGTTCTGTTCTGACTGCATCAACCTTGTTTCAAATCGAGCTTGGTGGAAGTTCCATAAAAGACTTGAGGGACTTTGTGAATCGTATTCGCCTTGTTCTCAGTGCAATTCCGGTCGGGCAACGGCCTGATGATCGCCTCACCGGTGAATGGCTCTTCCATCGAGTGAAACACATTCGCAAGCTTGAGCGCGTTATTGAGGACATCAG